AATCTATTCTTAAATATTTACCAGGAGTTACGCAAAGAGCTTGATGCGCATGGAGCACTAGTCACGGCGTTATGTGAGGCAAGTCCTGTGCTTGTGGAGCATTGTAGTCCAAGTGATCGGGTTCTTGTGCAAAATGAGCTCAACAAGGTTACTGAGCTATGGGAGGCAATTTCTTCCGCTTGGAAGAAGAGAATGGTGGACTTAGATGAAGTGCAAGCTACTGCTGACCAGTTCCACACAGCTTTTGACACTCTTCTTGAATGGCTTGATGTCATGGAGCAGAAACTCGCCAGTCAGCCACCTGTTGGGACGGAACTTGAAGTGGTGAAAGAACAGTTGAACGTGCATAAGGTAAGACAAAGGTCTCCTTTGTGTTTGGCACAAATTCTATACAATATGTAAGWGTTACATWCCGAGAACGGAGGCAATCAGCCTAATACCGAGGGATGTATAGGCTGATTGCCGATGTTCGAGGTATGTAACTGGCTTATTTCATACTTGAAGAAGTTTTCCAAGCACTGCATTAATATTTTCATTTTTAAATAGGCGAAGAAGCCGTTTTCACTATGAATTAAAAACCAAACCCTCGTTTAGAAAGATTACAACGAAATTTATACTGAAAATTCCCAACGGGAATAATTTGCATAACCAATTTTCTCGTTAGTCCCATGAGACCAATGCTAACAATATGCCTTTTGTAACAAGTAACTGGACAATGTTAAATAGCTGTTTTATTCCATAACTGACATCGATTAGTCAGTTAGCATAACGTGTTAAGTATAGGATTTTCAAAGCTAAGGTTGTGGGTTCGAATCTACTTGGTGTCACTTGAATTTTTCTTTCTTTCTTTCAAGTTTCAGACGGAAAATTTCTAAGTTGAACGTTGTAGTTAATTAGGTATTCAAGGGCCAATATACATTAGTATTCTCCCCCTCAAATGGGGGCGATATCTAGATATATCCCTGAAACTTCGATATAAAGCACTTGAATGCACAATGAGCTGGGGAATAAGCGAGATACAACACTATGAATAACAAAGAAAACTGAATCAAGTATGAAATAAATAAAATAATGTCCTTTTCAAACATCTCCTCGTTAGGATTTCCACAAGGAGCTRATACCACATCAGAAAGAAGTCACCGAAATCAACCAACAGGGAAATCTCCTAACTGARCGATGTCGACCCGAAGACGCTGATCTCGTCTCTGCTCAACTCGAAGACGTCAATATGCGGTGGGACGATTTGTGTAACAACTGCAATGAAAGACAACAAAAACTTGAAGAAGCGCTTCTTCAACTTGGACAGTTCCAACTCGCTTTGGAAGAGCTCCTCGTTTGGCTGAAGCAGACTGACAAAACTCTGGATGAACAGCTTGCTAAACCTGTTCATGGAGATATCAARTTTATTGAAATTGAACTTGCCAAACACAAGGTATGGTGAAGTTACTTTAACAAAGTTTTTACATGTGTCAACGTGGATTTATATTTCCTTGAGTTTTTGAAAAAAGATTMTGTATTTAGACTTTGTCTTGTTATAATGTTTTAGATCCTTCAAAACGACATTTTGTCCCACGAGCCTTCTGTGGAGTCACTATCCACTGCAGCCCAAAAGCTCCTCGAGTCTGGCGACTCCAAAATGGAACCAACGGAGCTTGAAGGAAAGGTAAATGATTTGAAAACTACATGGGATGACGTACTTGCAAAGTCAGCCAAGCGACAAGCTGAACTTGAAGCGGCACTGGAACGCTCGCACAGCTTCATGGGACAGATRAAGGAGCTGCGGGGTTGGTTGAATGAAGCAAGTGAGTTTTTAAAGTCTAAGAGGAGCATTGGTGGAAGACCTKTGTCGGCTGAAAAACAACTTTCCAAGCACAAGGTATGGATAGTGAATTGTTTCTAGACCAGRCGAASKAATATATCTCTGCTAGGTCTATACYTAGAAAACGATCAGTGAGGATATTGAGGCYTTCTTCGAGTCGCGGTTGCCATTGTTTCATTATGCCTTATTATATTTTGTTAGGATTTCATGGCTGTAGTAGAGACTCGCCGACAAGTCTACGAACAAATTGTTGAATCTGTCGACAAATTGGTAGAGAACGCTGACCCAGCTACAGCGGCGAGCCTACAAAGACAAGCAGAAGAACTTAAGGAGTCTTGGGACCAAGTTGTTAGCCGAGCCAATGAGGAACAAGAACGTCTCGATCRAGCGTTGGATAATGCCAAGGAACTAGAAGATAAGATGAGTGCTATTGATCAATGGTTGACCAAGGTTGAAGCTGATATCGTTGCGTTTGAAGACCCAAGTACCATTCTCGAAAAATTACAGAAGCAACGCGTCAACTATAAGGTAAATTAAAGCTGCAGTTTGATGTTRTGTGAGATTATCCTGGTAATTGATTGACAATCAAATAAATCTACATTTTCGGTTAAGAGGTTTATAAGATTTGCGGCTTTTACCGTCTAAGTCTAATGAACCTAATAATGCTTTACTGTAAGATTTAATGAATTAATTGATTCAATATTCCTCTAGGAACTCAAGGAAGACATCGACGCACATCGCGAGCCGTTCAAGAACATGAAACTGCTGTCYCATAAGATCACGGACGTGTGCATCCAAGATGACGCAGTCTACATCGATRGCGAGGYGACGGCGCTTGAGAAACGCTGGAAAGAAGTGCTTGCAACYGCCACAAGTCGTAAGAAGTCTTTAGAAGAAAATTATAAACTTTCGCACAAGTTTTTCAACGGGACGGCTGACTTGATGAAGATGTTGGATGAGGCAGAGAAGACTTTGAAGGAGGAAGAACCGATTGGTGTTGATCCTTCGCATTTGAGAACACAACTTAAGAAACATAAGGTAAAAAAAAAAACTATTCTCTTTTTTGGTTTGTTTATCAAATAGCTCCMCACTAGACTGTTACTTTAGGTTTTATACTTCAAGTCGTGGTAGTGTCATTTAGTACAAGTTAATGCTTGTCTTTCAACAGGACTGTTTGGATTCGGTGGTAGTCTTGGTATTATAAAGTATAACAAGAATCGTGTTTTTTTTCAGGAATTCCAAAACATGCTGGGAGCAAACCAGGCCACTTTTGACAGTACCATCAAGGCTGGTAAACTCCTAATGGATAAAAGTAACGATGACGACGCTATCGTTATTGAAGGAAAGATCGCTGATCTCAAATCTCGCTGGGACGCTGTCTGTGGAGAGTCAGTAGAAAGGTTCGTGGCCTTATCACAACTTATTTTCACCAAGGGCATCATTCATTTTCTAGTATTGTTTTAATATTTACCAAAATATAACCCTGTTGTACTTACATTTGTAAACTCTGTTCGATTGCAGGCAACAGAAGCTTGAAGAGGCATTGCTATTTACTGGYATGTTCCAGGATGCTTTGCAATCACTTCTAGACTGGCTCACTGCAGTGGAACCCAGTCTCTCGTCKGAGACCGCTGTTATGGGTGATCCAGAAACAGTGCAAATTTTAATTGATAATCATAAGGTAAGAAATCTAATACACCATCTTTTATCTTCCATATATGTCAATGTCAATTTTGTTATTCCTTTTTTGGCTTGTTATATTTTATTTGTTTATATGTCCTTTGTACGTTATCCTAGACATTCCAACGAGAGCTGAGTCGAAGGGAGGCAAACTACGAGTCCGTGATGAAGGCTGGGCGTGCAATGCTCAATGAAAAYAAGGTTGAAGAACCTCAGTCATTAGAGTCAAAACTGGACGATCTACGCATGCGCTGGGATGCCGTCSTAGCCATGTCTAACACCAAGGAAGATCGTCTCGACAATGCACTGGTGTTGGCCAAAGAATTCGACTCGGCCGTGAAGACTGAGTTACGTATCTTGAAGAAGTTCGAGGATGATTTAAGAGAGCTAGGACCAATTTCGGAGGACTTGAGTGGCATTGAAGAGCAGCTTGAGAAACACAAGGTAACCTACCCCGCACTTTCTGAATCTACTAGATATCAATGTAGTTTATAGCAAATCACAAGAGACTTACATTTGCCTCTCAATGACTTGTCTAKAAATAAAATAAACTAATTTTTTTGTTTGTGATTTTCGCAGGCATTCCATGACGAGCTCAAAGCCGAAGAGGTTAATGTACAGTCAGCCATCAAGAAAGGCCAAGTAATCCTTCGTTTCTGTCACCCAAGTGCAACCCAAATAATCCAACAATGGCTAGCACGCCTGAAAAAGAGATGGGATGAAGTGTGGAAGTGGTCCACTCAAAGACTTACTCGCCTTGAAGAAGAACGCGCTAAAATGGCTGAAGACAAGCAGCTGATGGACGAATTGTTGAAGTGGATTGACGAGAAAGAGAATTTTCTCAAAGAAAAGGACGAAGAACCAATACCAGATGATGATTACGATGAAGTCCAACTGCTACTAGAAGAACACAAGGTACGTGCTGACAACAGTCATAACTTTTTACGGAGGATTTGATACCAGTTGATGGTTTGGTGAAAATCTAAATATTGCAAYTCCTTCAAGGAACTCCATTGTGTTTAAAAAAWTTGCAGTTGGTCTTTTCGTTTCATATTGTAAGAAAGTGAGCTACTAACTACAGATAGATTGACCCATATTTTAGRTATAATAAACCATAAATTATTGATTTTCTTTATTTCATTTTTTCAGCTGTTCCAAGAAGAAATGGCGAAGAAACAGCCAAATTACGACCGTCTTACAAAATCAATCAAACGACGCTCGTCCACGCCTCGAACTACTGAAGTCAAAACAACTACTCCTTCGCGACGCCCAGGACCCGGAAGTAGAATCCCAAGAGCTAGCTCAGGATCGCCCGCAACACCATCGCGTGAACGATCTCGCGATAAGTTGTTGCACAGTCCAGCAAACTCTTATACAAAAGAAAAGGAAAGAACACCTTCATTCACACGTTCAAGYTCGAACCACCATCCTGCTGTATCTCATTTGTCCAAGAAATGGCAGCATCTATGGCTATTGTCTATGGACAGACTGAGGAGGTTACAGGAAAGACTCGAGCGTATCGCAATCAAGAGGGCTTCTGCAAACTTTGACTTCAAGGAGTGGAAGCGTCGATTTAATAAATGGTTGCACGATAGCAAATCACGTGTACAAGATATATTCCGTCGTATGGACCACGACCGCGATGGAAAACTTACTCGAGAGCAATTTATATCGGGAATCCTCAACACCAGCTTCCCGACTGAGCGATGGGAGATGGATATMGTGGCCAGTCTCTTCCTTCGCGATGGTCTGATCGATTACAAAGACTTTATTAACGCTCTCAAAGATAAACCCGCCACAAAGAAACCAGAAAAGCCCAAGACTGAGGGACAACAGATCTTATCAGAGATCGACAAACTCGTTGACCAATGCTGCTGTGCACATCGTTATGCGTACGTCAAAGTCGACGAGAATAAATACCGATTTGGTGACTCACAGAAGCTTCGATTGGTTCGTATCTTGCGCAGTACGGTGATGGTACGTGTCGGTGGTGGATGGGAAACACTACAATCATTCCTACAAAAGAACGACCCTTGCCGAGCTGAAGGAAGAACAAATATTGAGCTTCGTGAACAGCTTCTTGCTTCAGGAGCCAAAGAAAGCATGAAAGCGTTCAAAACCAAACGACCTGGTCTTTCACGAGAAGGCTCCGATGTCTCGAAACCTTCAGTTGCTCGTGAGAACTCCGGAAGCTTACGAGCGAAGCCTCCTAGCGGAGCAAAACCAAAGAAATCAAYAGAGCCTCATACACATCTAGGTCTTCCCGGGGTGAGACGCGAAAAGTCAGGCGACCTCCGTAGTCCTGGAGGAATTACAAAATCTCGTAGTGGCACCAGTTTGAAATCAAGAACACCAGCCACAGGAGCKACGGACATTAGAAAAGCTGGAAGTTCTGGGAATTTGAAAGAGAAACCTCCAGCATCTCCACGACGGTCTGATAGTCAGACATCCATCGGCAGCACAGGATCACAGGATGGGTCAGAGGCAAAATCACCGACTAGTGCTGCCACGTCGCGTATTCCTGTTGGAAGAACAGTGAAGTCGCCTGAATCAAAAACTGGCCTTTCAAAGACTGGTGCAAAAGGAAGTAGGGAAAACCTTGCTTCAAAGGGGGGTGCTGCATCGTCAAAGATCCCCTCTTCAGGTGCTAGGAAGACTACAACAACAACAACTAAGAAACCACCAGCATCTGGTCAAACCAAAGCCAAAAAATAAACATCGCTACAATAAAYGTGGGCCTTGGAAAACAAATGATCAAGAACTGAAATTAACAAGAACAACAAGTGGCCCTTCGAGAACGGATGATCATAAACCACATGAACTAACCACAAGAACAAGTGATCATCAACTAGAACAACGCTTGAAATACCAATGATAATGACTTGTTTTRTAATTTTGTATTGCATGTAGTTAGTGTATTTAAATATCATACGTGTTAGTATAATATATACAGACGTCTTTAAAAATTTACTTTAAATATCGATAAAGCAACAGTAGTAAGGTTTAGGTTAGGTTACTATAATTTATAGATGTAAGATATAAAAATGAATTAACTTCCAACAAAACGACTGTCACGAACCAGACGTGGTATTGGGGAATCACGACTGATTTGGAGGCACGAGTAAGAAAAGGAATACAACGRTGAAAGTTTAAATGATATCAAGCGCTGAAACTAAACAAGAATTATGAACAAGAAACAACCAAGAATTAATGGAAAAAAAAACAAGAATAAAGGACATTTCAAATTACAAACAGCATTAAAGCAAGTGCCAACTTGAGTAATACAATTTGGGGAACTGTCATACTTAAGTTGAGCAAGGATAACTACATCAAGAAGTCATGGACAGCCATTYTTCTTTGGGTAAGGACTTGGGGAACTCCTCACTCATGGAACAAGTGCGTTCAAATACATCAAGAATTACATAAGGACTCAATCATGGCCTGAAATTGAGTTCAAATACAATGACAATTATGCTAAAAGATTAAAAAATAGCGTTTAAAAGTAATTAATTTTTTTGGAGCAATTTCTCTCGCATTTTTAGGCGTGTCTTAATGTCACGCAATAACGAAGTAGAGCCCTTTGTTTTGAATGTTTTAAAAGATGTCACGCTCTACTCCTTAAAAAGGTGATAGTTGCGTGACTTTAGTTTTGCTATTTAAGCCGTCCTTCCGCACAAGTTAATTGATAATCTAGGTAGAATTGATATTTTATAAAAACAAACCCAATTGGTTTTGTAAAAAGACACCTTAAATTTGTCTGCACTATTTAAGATAAGTTAATACGTAAAGTGGTTTTCATAACCTCATGAAACAAATCTGTGATAAATTTCAATAGTTATAAGTAAGAAGAGGCGCTAAACTATACTGCACAGGTTTATGAAACTCATGACTTGTGTATTTAGTATAAATGTATTTTGTGATACTGTTAAAGTTTCTTTTAATGTTTTGTTTCAATTTTCAAATGAACTAGTACAAACTAAAAACTTTAGGAAAAAAATGTTTTTCAAATGGCTTTTTTAAGGACTCGTGATAAATATCTGTAACTGTAATAAATCTTTGGTACAAAATAAACTAGTTTTGATATTCAAGGTGTGGTTATATTTTTGAGTGAATATAATAATAACAATAATAGATTTCATCGGTTTCAGCAATGTTTGTCCCACCGAGTGAGCCCACTTGTAAATAGTCTTTGCTGTTATGTATCTTCCAAAATTTTGATGGAAAGCGAAGAATATCCTACTTGCGAATTGTGTCTCGATAGTCACACCCAAAGGAATCAAGACGAGGCGCCGTACACACAGTCATTCGTGTAGAGACAAACGCCTCGTCTTGATTCTTTTATGTTTGACAATTCGCAAATGATTTATTGTATTCCATAAAGCCTGAAGTGGGACAAATATTGCACAAGCCGAAGAGTTCACGAGAAAACCATAAATGAAATGGTAATAGAGAAACAATACGCCTTTTTGTGGCACAACGCAACGGCGTACCTTGCCCACTATCTTTAGAAAGACACTTCGGTAGTTCATGTAAATAATGACTCCAGTATAGTTTTTATATAGTGAAGCAGAGCAGTTATTTTTGCTTTTAAATTACGTACATGGAAAGATTTATTATGAAATATCGAAAAACATTTGATTATAGATACCCTTTGCAATATAGTAAGTCAAAAAACGTCATGATAGGATAGACAATATCTTTGTACTTCTAGTTCTTATTCGTAATTTACGACTCCATAAATGACTTTTCGTTGTAATGTGRAAATTGGAGAGAATAGTATTTTCTGTATATTTGCTTTGTACGTGGTTCCTGCTTCCTCTAGGCTGTGCCAGTTAAGTAACCTGAATACCAGGTGCGCGATTGTCTGTGTCCCGGTTGCTCTGTTCTGGAATTTTTTGTAACTTGTCTGCCGGGCCATTATCTAGGGAATCCCAGACACCACAGCAATAGTCAAGGCGTGACTTGACTAATGCGCTGTAAATATACATTAAAGATTTAAAGTATACCCGGACAAAAACGGTAGTATTCTTTTTGTCACACCCAGGCCAGAGGCTACCTGCCTTGATATATGTTCGACATGATCCTCTCCAGYTAATTTTGATCAACGACAACCTGAAGCGTTTTCGTGCTCGTTACTTTTTTAAGGCAGCACTTCCGTCATCAATTATAGCGAGGGCAAAGTTGTGCGATTCGCTGAYGTCCAGATTTTTTCAACATTTCACACGTCTTTTTGRGTACTTCCACTACAAGACGTTTTGTTCAAAAGACGTTCACGCAGGGCCTCTATATCAGGTTCAGTGCCCGAATATAAGGTCTGGAACAGTGCAGAMTGTTCACATTAGTTTTCCCTGAATAGAGCAAAACGTTTTCATTCCTTCATTGAAAGAAAGCACATTGGACAATTTCCTTTGAATGGCTTTTGATGACACTTCATACACAATTGGTTTGAGATCTCCCTGYCACACCAGTTGAGTTCCCTCTATATTTGACGTATTTTCATTGACGTTAATCAAGACAATTCATGCCTTGTCAACCACGCAAAGAGAAACTCCTGCCATTACAAGGGCCATTCCTATGTAAGTCTCTRAAACAGAAAATARCTAGATGTTTACTGGGATTCCTGTATAAATTTAACACARGAAACCCAAACAGAGCATAATTTGATGTACCTACCCAATGAAACGCTTTCCTCGCCCAGTAACGTCCCTGACAGTATTGTTATAATGAATGTTAAAGCATTTGTTATTGGAACTGCTAGTGAGAGATCTAAAAAAACGAAAATTAGTAGTTTATATATCACAAAAAAGTAAAACAATCAATGATTTTTATATCATTTGTCATTATARATTCTTATTATATTGTAATAATACTCCAATATCTCTTATGCAGGCTTAGCTTTAATCATGCATGCAATTATAGCATTTTGGGTTTTTCAATTAAAATAGAATTTTTTATGAATAAACAGTAAGTTATTTAACATGCTAATTGTGGCTAAGGCTTTCTTTCATCTCTTACCAGCTGATGCAAGTGTCAAATAAAACAACACTGATCCACTTTGATTCAACAAGAAAGGAACCATATACTGTAAAAAACATAATATAATTATAATGATATGATATTGATAGTCAAATATTTATAATTATCATATTTTTATCTATGAAATACCTCTCCATTTCTCCATTTCATGTTATTTTCACTAGTGAAAATAACACATTCGGGTATTCTCTATAGAGTATATAGTGGAAACACATTCGGGTATTCTCTATAGAGTATATAGTGGAAACACATTCGGGTATTCTCTATAGAGTATATAGTGGAAACACATTCGGGTATTCTCTATAGAGTATATAGTGGAAGTAAAAAAAAAGCTATTTTACGACATAATTTGCTTTCATATGCAATTATATGATAAACAGAATATTACATGGTCGCTTGGAGATACAAATTTTATATTGTCGTGTTGAAATTCTCTCACTCGTTCGCTATGCTCACTCGTGAAAGATCTTTTCAACACTCGAAGATAAAATCCGTATATCCGCACGGCCATGTAATATCCTCTAAATATCTAATTATATAAGTTGGTCTCTGTCCACTCTCAGAATATTTTCTTCTACTTAAAATCTGTAGCTTATAATAAGACAGTCAGCAGAGGCATATAAAGGAGGGATTTCTGGATTTCTGGCAAAACATTTTGTGCGCACTGTGGTATATTTGATGGCTGTCTACTGCGGAGAGAGATGGGCCCCTTTGAAAAATGGGTAGGGGTGTTTACTGTTTTTGTTTTTTGTTTTGCTTTTTCGTATAACTTAAATATAAAAACAATTAACGGCAAATCAGTTAAGTCTTAAGCTTATAATTAAAACGATAATTTGCTTATGATATTACGTTTCAATTGTTTAATTGTCTCAGCAATTTACCTTCCAGTTAAATACAAGAAACTTAAYTTCAGCCAAGAACTGCGTGATTGCATTGTTTCTTTTGATATTCTCTATTCCAACACTTCCCTTCTTGATTAAAGGATTTGTAGAACCCCACAATATTGCAACGAGTATGAGCCAGATTGAATTGCCTGTAAATAGACCATTTCTTCATGTTACATTATATCCACGACTTTTAAGAAAGTAAAACGAATTTGAAAAAAAATGTCAAGCAATTTAACTGACCTAATGAATCGTTCATTGTTAATATTTTYATCTTTTCTTTTAACTCAACAGCCGATACGGTCCGCCATTTTTAATTTCTAAATGTGCCRGYGATAATCTCAGCGGTTAGCTTAGTTGTCATGGTGACTTCTCAAAATGGCGGTCCTTGAAGGAGCTCAAATTCAAGATTTATTTCGCGAAAAGTTCACTGAAAAAAGAAAGATTTTGYTAGTCAAAGCTCTGAATTTCCCAGAKTATGACGAGGAAGATGATCTTAAAAGTGCAATTATWTTAGATGTTTACTACGAGGCGCTATCTTTTGCTGTCAACCAAGGACTTCCTTGGAATCAAGTCGCAGTGTTTTTTGAAATTTTCCAAAAAACTGTGAAGAACATTGCTGGTAAAAATGTCAAACAATCWATTACAAAACRTAGCAAAATAATAAATTCGTTTATTTTTCTTATCATCTGCAGATATAGATCAAACTCTGCTTAATGCAATCCAKCATTTTGGGCAAGATATCGAAGGTTGTTCTTATCTGTACTCGGAGTCTTCGCTGAAATCCCTCGTGGACTATGTTTTCATGACGTTATTTCAACACTATAACCTTCATCGTTATGTCTTGACGYGTGAACGTGTTGAAGACAGGACAAAATGTRCAATGGTGATAGAGCCTCCCCTTGAACTACCTCCTCTGTCTGATGCTATCCCTAAAATAGAATGGGATGAGAAACAGAAATTGAAAGAAATAGATGAAATGGAAGAGAGACAGAAACTGGTGAGCATGTGTTAATTTATCAAAGTATTTTACTTATGGACAKTATAATTATACCACTAATAGTGTTTTATGGGGTCTTTTATCTAGGTTCATTAATCAAACTTCAAACATTCAATCAGAATACCCCATAGCYCTTAAATTCACATATCCACKCCRAATAGCACTGAAATTCTTGTAAAATGTTTTCATATTCTGGAACTATCATCTTTTAGATGCACTTTTGCACTTTTTTGGTTTGTTTTTKMTTTTTGTTTTTAATTTCAATCTGTCAAATTCTGGTTAGAGAACACGATGTCTCAGAGAGCAGAGATGTTTGTCATATGTACCTTTTAGGGGTCAAACTGAGTAAGATAGTTACTCCCAGTTCTATAAATCTGTTGAAAATCTAAGTACATTTGCTACACCTGTTGGACTCTTTTTAACTTATGGTGTGGGTTACCTGTGGAAACAACACGACCTCTGTGAGACATGCTCCACATGGTTTAATGCAACAGCTGACCCATTTTGGATAAGTAATTTTTTTCTCCACCCGGCCCTCCCCAATCCCTTTAGGGCCGCTATGCAGGCTAGCCATAGGTGTGGCCATGACCTAGGCCCAGGGGTTCTCCACACCCCTGCTATCTAAATAAGGTACCTATAATTTCAGGTAGTACCCAAAAGTCTACCTTCTGTGTTATAATGATCTAATAATTCTTCTAACATTCTTTTCATAGGAGCGTCATACTCATTACCAAAAACTTCTAGAGGAGGCCAGCAAGCACCTAGAAATACCTTTTGAAGAACTAACTGTGAGTGAGCAACAAGTAAACAAGGATGCATTGACAAATATTGTCAAAGATGTGGCATGCGCCCAGGCTAATGTTACAGAGACTTTACTCCAGGAAACCCTGGATGAAATCARAGATACCTTGGAATTCCAACATATGAGAGCAAATGTGATGGCAGAATACGAAGAATTTGATGGTAAAGCTGCACGAAGGAAGTCAAATGTTTCAAGTGGAAAAGCAAAGAAAAAATAGTTTAATGGCATGCCTGGTGCATTCTTGGTAACTCTTGGGTGATTTCCTGTTAGGTTGCCGACTATGAGATGCTGTCATTTTTAAAAAAGCAGAGGAAAACAAAATAACAAAGCAAAACTTAAGTATAGCTGCAACAGTTRTTCAAGCGCATATGTAATTTAAAGTCACAGAAAGAATATGTTCATTGGAAACAAGGATATGAGGGTAGTGACCCATAAAAAARTGGTTGTTACTAAGCTGAGTCGGCTAAAAAAGAACCTATGATATTTTTGATAAGTAGAACGATTTAGCTTGGTTTGACAGTGTCTCAATGATGAAAGATGCAGAGCAGCTTTGATATTGTGCATAGTTTAAATRTTATTGGTTGTAAATATACTTAGTTACTGTGTTCGCACAAGAGTATGTCAGAAATGTTTTGGTATTTTATTTTATTATTTGTCAAAACATTAATATTTATGTCATTTTATGGTTCTTTATCTATTACTGGCATTTCATTGTTTGATATGATGTCACAGATGGAAATAATAGGGAATGTTGTATAAATAAATATTTTAATAAACATTTTCGAATGAAATAATWTGAAAAAGTKTCGTGCGAATTTCTCCCGATTGTAAACTGAGCAATCAWAAAATGAAAYAATAAAATGAAAAAGAAAAAAATTTACAMCATCTCGGACCCTACTCCCCCTCATTGTGGTACTTAGTCCACCCTCGTTCCATTCGTCGTGTCAACAAATAGCTGATGGCGGCTATTTCGTACTGATAACGGTCGATAAAAACATTTACGGTATTTTTACCAATCTCCGGATGTCCTGTCTRTCTCAAATACTCGACCAGCCCTTATTTAGATAGTGCTGGGAGAGAAGGTGGACTCGCTTGTGCTTTTTGGGTAGATTAATGTAAGCACCGAAGAAGCAGATCATCATTACTCACACAATCCTTCGAGCGTGAAATCCTTTGACAACTTTCATTTGTTTTCACGGCAGCTCTTCTAAAATGTCSACTGACGATGCTTGGTACATGGCCGAGAAGCTGCGACAAGTTTTGCAGTCCAAGAACTTCACCAAGGATGATTTTGACACGCGAGCTTTGAAACTGTCGCAAGCTTTTTGCCTTCTTTGGCAGGATAAAGAAACTGGCGAAGTTTCAGGCAGACAGAAACCTGGGAGAGTTTCAAACGCTGCTGTCGTAGCTGTTTTAATTGATCTCTTTATCTTGGGGAAAATAGAGTTTGAAGTTCTGGTGAAACAGTGGACTTCGATGAATAGGAGAAGAGAAATTATATTTGTAAAGGTAAGTTCATGAAAAAGACTCTGGCTTTAGTATTTCAGTGAACTGGCGCGATACGCCTGCTATTTGTGTCATATTTGATTACGTTAGATACATATTATCGTATAATAGATAATTTAGTATCTTATGTACTCAGATGTACTATCATATCTTGAATGATACATAGCTTTATGGCRCAGGGGCTTTCAAAACATGTTTAAGTACTTCAGATGAAAGACATAGCATTCATGTCGATTTTGTGGTTGGTGATTCATAAATTGTGTCTATAAAAGTCATAAATATTAAATCCAAAACATGTCAAATTTGTTGAAGAATATTGAGTGTGATTCAGCTTAAGATAGAAACAGATTTAGTTATTTTAAAACTCCAAACAGTATTACAAAAAAGAACAATGAACAAAATGTTTATTGGGAAAATGAACAAAATTTGTCAAAATTCTGTCACCCAGCCCTTGCTATTACACAGCAGGACATCTTCCATACATTTTTTTCTTTACGTCAGAATTGCAAAACGTTTTTAGGCTGCTTGAGGTGTTTGTTATGAAACTAAGTACTATTAATATTTTTAGTTCCAAAAAAAGGATTCACCCAACACCCCTCCCAATTTTTGGTAGCTCTAAGGGGATTCTTGTTGATAACATATTCATTATTTAAATATGATCAATGTTTWAAGTCATTTTTATTTGGGGTCCAGTGGTCGGTCCAGTGTCCTTAAAAAGCATCCTATCTGACATAACTTCCATCAAGATTTTTTACAATCTGCCTTTTTCAGTGTTAGATCTAAAATAGATCAATTTGTGAAAAAAAATTGTTTAAAGGTTCTATAAAAACTCTCCTTAGTCCATGASCTTGTTTTTATGCACAAAGGTCACCTTCAGTTTTTATCTTATAGAGAGAAATGTGATTGAGTTTTGAATGTAAACAGGTATGTGATACAGTACCAACAGAAACATTCCTTGATAAGGCACTGTTCTCCTCCATGCTATCCCACCACAATTCTAAGCCCAATGAGCCAAAGACTGCTACAGAGTGGATCATCCAAGGTTCAGGGCTATCACCAACATCTGCCACAGTTGTATTAGACAGTCTTGTAGATAATGGAACTCTGGGAAAAACCTCAGTGATGTTTTGGAAGAAGTATCCAACTTTGAATCAAGGTAAGAGACTTTACTTGTACATGTGTATCTGTGACAGGCTGTTGAAAGCTTGCTCCATAACCAGGCCTACTCTCTTGTGAAACATCTTATAAATTGATTTTGGCCTTTTGCCTTTTGCCAGAGAACATGTAAATTAAATGTTTATTGAAATGAACAAAATTTAAGAATGTGACTTATACTGTAGCTGTGTTTGGTCTGTTTTTAAGAATCTCTGAAATAATGCGTGATTTTAATAAGTTTACAATGTTTTCAAATACAAATGGGAATCATATTAATRATCCAGTTTCGAATTGTCCAATGCTCTGTGTTAGCCTCATTTGTGTGCAAAATATTCCTAATTGTGAGAATAAAWGTGTGAGATTTCAAATCATTTCTATTGTCTTTCTTTTCAAATTCAATGCATTTTCTGAGGCTATCAATAAAAGAAAACAATATGTTGCTTGGTTTTGAGGCACAGAGCAAACCAGAAGTCAAATTTGGAGTTTTCCACAAGACTCCTGCTGAGTTTTCAAAACTTCATTCACTAATGGGCTTTGTTATCACTTCAGTTAATCTAATTGTCTAATTCATAAATTGTACAATGTGGATATATGTTAGTTATGTAAAAGGAGTTTGGATAACAAAGTAATTTTTCATCAGCCTGCCACAGTTTGGTAAATCATGCAACCTCATTCCCAGGACCTTAAGCCTGGCTATAATAGGCCCAGTCAATGATAGATTTTGATTGGCTAGCTTTTTGGTAGCATATCCATAAAAATGGCTCATAGATCATGTGACTGGCTGATGCCAGGGCTTTCTCTGTCTGCCATTTTCAAATTGCAAGCAGTGAAGCCCTGGGAATGGGGTTTTGAGTTGCATGGTAAAGTATATAGGATGACACAAACAAAACTATTTTTACAAGCCAATAAATGTTTGGAACAGGTTATAAAAAAAATTGTTAGGTTGGGTGTGATATATGGTATGCAAAATATGGGTTTTGAGGTCCAGTTGGAACACCCTAACCCTAACTTGAGCGATAGTAGAGGCTTCAAAAATCTTACATTATTTTTGTTGTAAACAAAAATTGAAAAAAGAAGTAACACAAACCAGAGCAGTATTTCTTAATTAGGTTATTTTACTTTACATTCATCAAATTTATTTTAAGTTTATAGTGGTTTTTATAACCGTAACACTATGTATTTTAAACAGAGCCTGAATTGAACTTAATTAAAGAAATAAGAAGAACTTTTCTTGATGGTCATGTTGCGGACGGCTACATGTGGACTTTGATCAAGCTATTATGCTGTGTTGATAATTACAAAAAGGAAATAGGGTCCATTTTAAGCAGGCACTTTACTTTGGAAGAGCTTGCTAAACCTTTACCAGAAGGTATTGCAGCTTTAATACGTGGCGATGATGATCGCTGTGTTGATGTTTTGAGAGTAAATGGAGAATTTCATGAACTACAAGACCTGGGGGGTGGTGTAAGACAACAAGATCATAAGGTACAAGACCAGCAGCAAATTACATATGCAGCACCTGAGGGAGTTAGCTGTGCGGTTCATGATGTTGATTTGATTGTAAGAGATGGGTCCAACAGCAGCACTGACGAACCTGAGAACTCACAATTGTTACAAAGTAAAGACAAAGCTGGTGGTGATTTTATGAAGAAAAGTTAAAACACATTCAAAGTGACATTGTTACCATAATATGACTGGCCATAGCCGAGCGTTTATTACCAATATAGTGAAGTATACACTCAAACACTGATGGGTTTAAATTCATACATGTATGTACGCATACACTATAGAACCTAAGACTAGAATACATAACGTTGAAATAGCCCTTTTCGCGGTTAAAACAAAGTTGCGCGAGTGACCTGTCGTTATCAATCAAATTGTGGCAGGGTCGATTGTCCGATCTTCCCTTTCGAGCTTGTTTATCTTTTACAATTTCAGGAAAATAATATTTGTTGTTGAAAAAAAACATAATTTTGACATGACGTGGCACTCTTGTTCATTTGAGGGCTGCAGCAAATATACTGTCCGCTTTGATTTTAACCGCGAAAAGGTCTATTGAATAATTGTAGCAAGATTGCTATGCTTACTCTAACGTAGAGCGGAATGTATGAATGGCAATATGTATGTGTAACGGCAGTATGGCATCGTGCCTGGTAGTGATTTCAAATAAAAATAATGGTTGATGCACACTTCATACAGTAGCCACGGAACGGCTTTAATGAGAGATGAAAGTCGAGTGTATAAACAACAATTTTGACAATAACTGAGACGGTTCCATTAAATTGTGGTAAATAAAAGGACACCACGGGAAACTATCACAAATTTGTTTTTTTTATCCCAAAAAATATTCTACAATTAGATAGCAATCCAAAAAAAAAGAACAATCTTGTGACCGTGGTTTGTACCTGTATTTACCACTGCTCTTGGCCAATCAGGCATCGAGAAAATTTACAATATTGATAAAAATTATGGCCAAGAACGGCGCTAATACATGGAAATCATACCCTTGTTAATTCATTTTTCCTTGATTCCTTTCTGATGCAGTCTATATTAATCTTTATTATTTTAAACCTGACAATGACTGCACAGTTGAATATAGTATTAGAAAATGAGACAAAAGTCATAATTTGAAAGTGCAATGTTATAATGTTTTAGTTCTACCCTCGTTGCTTTTTAGCAGTTGTCTTAGTTAACTAATAACACCTTGTAAAAGACCATTACACTAAACCAGAAGCGGGTTGTGCGAAGGCTGAATAGCGTTAGATCAAATAGGACAATTCCTTCCCTGGATAAATCCCATACAAAATCTAAGGAGCGGGCAACTTAACCGGTGAATAACTTTATTCGCCCTATTAAATGCATCGTTAGAAACTCAAAAAAGTACTTTGAATGCCAGACAAAACAAGGTTTTTGTGGTGGATTTAAAGTGTCATAGGTTTGAAAGTTCATAGATTTTATATGTGTTGTTTCATAGTTACTAACTATTGTTGTTCTTAATACTGTTTATACTGGTACATCGTTATGATACGTTTATATTGTTAGTCACTGTACTTCTGATGTGTACACTTTGTAAACAAGACCTTTTGGATTTTCAAAACAATAAAATGACAAATGAAACGTGCGTTTAGGATAGGCCATTCTGCATCAAGTGAAGTAATGTTTCAAGTCCGACAATGAGGACTGGACGGGATTTCAAGTCCGCGCAACTAATTGCAAGGACTTGAAATCCTGTCCAGTCCGAATTGGAGGACTTGGAACGACTTCAAATCCTCATTAATTATTCGGGAGGAGAAAAGGGCCGAAAAATATTAAAAGTCTATAGACCCCTTGCATGTGACGTCAAAGCAGCTTCATCTGGAGGGCAAAACAAAAGATTTTTGCCCTCTTGGGAACTAGAATCCATTGTTTTGTCCTCCAGTTGTAGCAGCATTCCCATGAACTGCAAGGGGTCTATAGGAATATATTGGTTATATTTGCTCCTTCATGCAGGATTTCATATTTACATCATTGAGCACTATTTATTGTTCTTCAATCCCCATTTGGGCATTTGAAACAAAAGCTATTCAAATCCCCTGTCTGCTATTCATTTTAATCCTAATGAACTTATTCATAACATTTAAAATCATTTTATCTTCCCTGTTTTTTCATCGGATAGTGAGTGGTGTAATGGTTTAAGGCGGAGGGCATAGATCAGAAGGTTGGGAGTTCGAATCTCAAGATGAAATTTATCATAGATTTTTTTCACTAAATTCTAAACTTAGTTTACTATTTCTACTTGTTTRAAAGAACTTCAATAACTTGGACTTTGAAATTATCTGAGAAATTAAATCAGCTTGGAGTAACTGGAACAAAATTAATTCAGTACGGAGTAACTGGAACAAAATTAATTCAGTACGCCTAGTAACTTCCTCCGATTTCCAGTTACTGCACGTGGTATGAATTACGAACAAGGATTGGCYARATACCTCGTGAATAATTAATGAGTATTTGAAGGGCATGTTAAGCACCATTTTAAGGTGATTCCATCTGGTGGCTTTACTGAGGAGCTATAAATGGACGACCTTTCATACTGCTATCAGATTTCTTGTATTGTGAAGAAAACGTTTTTGTTAATAAAGGTTTCGCTCATATTTGTTACTATTTTTTCGTTTGCGCACGTGCAACTTCGTCTCGTGGCATACATTTTGACGTCATTAACACCTTATTGTATGACTCACAAAACTCAATTTCTTGTATCGGAAACTACAATCGCCTAGATTCTAAATTTCTTCAGTTTTCTTGATATCCTGTGAAGAAAAAGTTTTGTTAATAAAGATAAATTTAATCCCGTAAAAATGGGATTTTCTGGAGTTTCATCTCTTTACCCCGACGAAGGATTAACGTCCGAAACGTCAGTGAGTTGTTTCATCTATTTTTTACTCAACTGTTTCTTTCAACTGTTTCCGACGCAGCTTATACTAGTTTACCGCTAGTTTCCACCATCTGTTTATTATAAAGGCATAGTTAATACTATGATAAAGGTTATTGCCTATGTTATTGCCTATATTTCTACCATTTTTCGTGTACACGCGTGCGACTTTGTCTCGTGGCGTGTTTGTTTTTTGGTGTCATCACATTTTGATGTCATCTGTATAACACCTTATTTATGACTCACAAAAATTCTCAACGTGCATCAATAAATGTGTGCAATCAAAACAAAGAAAATAACACTGAAAGACTGATGACCGAGGTGCTCTGGGGACAAGTATGAAACATGTGAATTCGAAGCCAACGTGCACTTATTCAGGCTCTTGTTTAGCCTGCGTTTACTTGTTATTATTTGTAGAGAATATACCGGATGCGTACGCAGGCTAGCTCTTGTTAGCATAAGGAAACGTACGTGTAATGCTTGGTTTTGAAGGTGATATGATTTTACAACCTTGCATGTAGATGGCTTATATTTTAGAAAATGTTTGAATTAGATCTAAATTCTCCTTTGTATTTCTGAATCCCTTGAAAAACTTCATGAAATTAACTAAAGACATCGATCTAACTACATCCATCCTCGGAAACCCAGGGGTAATGCACTAGATTGGGAATACCGGGGAATTTAAGGTTTGAGTGGCGTTAAGATAAGACATTTCCCCCGGTAGTCGGGGGCACATTCAATGCTGAAATCCCCGCTTCTGTTACCCCGCTATTTTGGAAATAGTAAATAAGAAAACAAAGACCTTTCAATCAAATTTTCTGTGATACACAGGGTTAGTTTTTTCGCAATCCTGTGTACTCGTTTGCGTACTACATGAGGCTAACTGGACGGAGAAAAACATGTGCAATGAGTTTCTTTTAAAGGTAATTTCCAGCCTCATACGAACGCGTGTTAAAATTCCCGCTCTTTGCCCCGCTTCGAAAACAATTCATCAAAATTCCGAACCTTGGGACAATCTTACTGTTAAAAGCACGTTAAAAACGCACCACGTCCCCGTTTAGTGCCCCACTAGCCCCGGGGATCGGGGGCGGGGGTTTCAATTGACTAGTGAATTAATCCTCTGTTGCTCGTTCCTTGCTCCCACACCCACACTTTCAAAAGTATTGCAGGTCCATGAAAACGAAGTGTTTTCGGACAATTTTTCGCAAACTCGCTTGTACTTTTTGCCCAAAAAGGTAATCATAAATCATATAGGAAGAATTTATTATAATTATTCGTTATCAATGGATATTATACTTAAACCAGAAGTACTTCTGATTTAAACGGATTGAATAAATATATAGAACTTTTTTACAAACGCTTTCGTAGTACTAATAAAAATTGAGGCTTATATGGTGTATTACGCAATGTCAAATCATCTAATAATTCAATCAAACAGCGGACTGTCAAACGAATCAGTCGATCTCTTTTTCCATCCTCGAAAAGCTTTATGCTTTTTCTTGCATTCACTTTCACAGATGCAATCGGGGAACATATTTTTATCGATGTTGTCCAAGCCATCCTTGTCTGCATCGTCGAATAGTTTGTCGACGAGTTTGACATAGCAGAGTGGGACGTGGTCGTGGCCTCTTGTTAACTTCAGTAATGGCCACATGAATCCATTGGCTACATGGTTGTGAAGCCCAATCATGCGGATTTCATCTCGAAGCTTTCTTTGTGGATCTAGATAGGTGGAATTAAATACTATTTTAAATAAATATGTAGTACTGCATCCAAAAGAAATTTGTTCGTTGAATGCGATATGAACTGAAAACTGGTTACCAGGAATCATTGGTCGATTAGATGATTGAATAGAAATGGAAGTTTGCATGAAGCTATCCATTCCTTAGATATTTTATTGGTCAAGCCCATATTCTACCAGTTTATAAAGATAAATTGTCACCAACCTGTGTTAATCGTAGGAAAGAGAACATCGTTTGAATCCTGCTCCACTTTCATGACGAAGATTCCTTTATTAACCAGACTTCGGAGGATGCCCATGAGCACGTGACTTGGATGGGATAGTGATCTCGACATCCATTCTATTGCTGTGTACTCGGCTTCAGCATCCAGAATCAGGTTGAAAATACAGTCGTCCAGAAATGTATACGTTGGTCGTCGATCGATTACCTGAAAAAAAAAATCAAATATTCAGCGGATACGATGGAGGTGGACGTTGAGACTTTTATTGAAAGTACGGTCGAATGTACCACCGAGGAAGATTTGTAGAGTGAATTTTGTGAACGGATCACGGCTTTCGGTCACGGAACCTCTCATGGTACGAGTGACGCCAAAGCATAGTTACTAACTATGACCAAAGTAAAATACTGTTTAAAATACGGTTTGTTTGTTTGTTGTTTTTTTTTTTGTTTTTTTTTTTTTGCTTTTTTCGCTTAAATATAAAAACAATTAACAGCAAAACGATAATTTGCTTANATGCGTTTTTCGAGTATTTATTAACATGCAAATTAGTTTTTACATTTTTGATTTTGTACACACTTTTGGCATAAAGGCGTGTTAGACTTTTCAAGAAAATTGAAAGCAATCATTGTAAAATGCTGATTTTGTTAGTAAAATTAAATCAAATTTGAAATTTTTTAAATCATTCTTATCTTTTTGTCTATAGACCAGACGAGGAGGTTTTATGAGAATTCGAAAATTTGTGATTTTATTAAAAGAAAACATTAATAATTTTCTTTAACCTTGTCCCTAAATTCATGTACCAATCGAACTGCCACCTTTCAAATGTTTTGGTTAGCAAGTTAACATCCCACATAGGTGATAACTATTTCTTAAATACTCAGAAACTCCTCAAAAACGCTGATGTGAAATCGTTTTATAAGGTCCCTTTCTTTATGTAATTAGACGTTGTTTTACGAATCTCCAAAGAGATTTTAAAAAAATCTGAATAACTAAGGAAAATGGCTTGGACTAATTTCACAACAAAAGAAAGTGAGCAAAGCATTCTGGTCTTGCACGCTAGACTCGCGTAAGAATTGTAGTCGTCGTAGTCATGTAAATAAAGAATAAACTTTGTCCGGTTCAAAACTAATAGCCACATTTTTAGTTCAACAACAGACTATTTTGGAAAAGACCTTCACGAGATGTACTCACAAATAGCTGTGTAAATCAGTAATGYATGTGATTTTCGTGCGACTCCGTGCGTCATAAAAATTAGAAACTTACGCGTTAGTAATTTAAGGTCTTTTGTTTTGGAAAAAATAGCATTAAGAAATGAAATCTGGTTGTGTCTATCTACAAGTCGATTTTATTTATTTGTCATCCTATCCTATTTATTTATTTAAACATCAAGTTCTATTTTTTCGTATTTCGTTATTGTTTATGTTATTTGTTGTAAAAATTAATCTATTGCAAAGCAAAACTTACCGTTACAACATAATCCTGGAAAACGTCGCTGGTGGGAAATAATCGTCCGAGGAGAAAGCCTTTTTTATTTTTCTTCTTTCGGAACTCAATCCTTCTCTTTGCATAAAGATCAAGCAGAGCGCATGCAACGGCAGTTACATGAAGGCTATCGTCTCCACTTCGACCTGGGCACTCTCCAGTTTTGGGGTTCTGCCACAAGAGACCAAAAGCTTCACTTATTGTCGATTCTCTTGAACGGTATTCATCGAAATCAAGTCGCTTGTTTTGAATTATTTCTCCTAAGAACTTTGAAACGTACGACGTTATGTACCAGCTAATTTTAATTCCAGATAGGCCGTCTGCTAGACCGTACGTTCGTGATTTATTACTTTTAGTATGGCTATACATTTTTACTACCGAAGTTACCAAAAACTGATCGACTGCGCTAAAGAGAATCGGCGATTTAAGTTATAAGATGAATTTTGCATTTAACATTATTCTCAATTGTGAAAATTAACAAAGAAACCACACGGAAGTCCCGTTGTATGGTAAATGCCGGAAAGCACGCAGTAAAGGTAGTGTTTTGGACTTCAATTAACTGACAAGGAATCTTACTGCACAATGGTTCAATTATTGATTCAACTATAGTGACGTCAGTACGGGTCGCATCGAATAAGTATGATTTTTTATTGAACAGCCCATGCCAAAAAAAATTGATGGTACCTTTTACATAATCATCAGGGTTTTACACGTCGATGAAATACGTTAAAAATGCAGCTCTTTTMTTCTGATCATTTGTTGGACAAAACTCAAAACATTTTTAAATGTTAAAAAGAAAATGTTAAAAAAAATGTTAAAAAAAATGTTAAAAAGAATCCGTTAAAGACTCAGAATGATTTGTTAACTTTTGGAGGTAAAATCAGTTGAGCGTGTGATGATGAGAATCTTCCTGAGCGCCGGAAATGTAAAGGCTGATTTACACGGCACGATTGTCTCGTGCGATTTGTAGTATACGACTTGAATCGCGCAGTGTAAATGCCCCTACGACTTGCCTACAACAGTCGTACGCAACCTACGACTTGTAGTAGAATTTTAAAATCGTATACTACAAGTCGCGCGCGACAAATCGTACCGTGTAAATCAGCCTTAAGAGGAGCAAACCATAAGTCACCACTGCCATAACTACTCGGCATGTCCATTCGTAGCGTCTACTAGAAGAGGGTTTATAGCTTAGCTTAGCTTAGTTATCCCCATCTTCCCTAGTGGGAAATAGGGCCGCGACACGGTGACGCAAGACGACTGGTTACCTAGCTCAAGTCCACTCACAGGCCGGTAGATGGTTGATTTGTCATCGTTGGCGCAGTTTCCGTAACAAATTATTTTTTAAGGGGTGGGAGTGTTGGCCCTACGCCCAACCCCCAACCTGGAGGGCCAGGGGATCACTCTTCGTCTGGCCCCTACCTTTCGACCTTTTCGGCATGGGTGGCCCTGCCAGGAGTAAAAATACTCCCGCCGACATAGCTCTAGAGGTCATTGGGATACACAAACCACTCCACCACAGTAAGGTGGTGATCCCAGCGGAATGAGGGTTTATAGTGGCCTATTAATTGTTTGAGCCTGACAGAGAAAGAACAGCAAGCTAAAAAACTCCTTGCATCAAATGTCTTTCATTTTATTTTGAGCATTTTAAAAATGAAAAAGTTACCTTGTTGGAGGGGACCAGGGAGAGAAAGACCTTAGACGGGTTGTACGTTCTCGTATTTCACGTGCGTGACTTGATTCGCCGCATTCTCTACATTTAGGGAAGGTACGTTTATTACTGGGGGGAGGGCTGGAGTTTTCGGAGTAATTTTTCCATAAGAATGTGTGACCCTCCCCAGTAAAACTAAACTTTTGACCCTCCCCTCAAAGACATAAGTTCCAAAAATACTGATGACCCTCTCCCCACCTCACACTCACAAGTCTCAGGCTATACCAAAGTTTGCAGAAAAAGCACGCTATTATTCACACTAACAAGCTACCTTAAGGTTTGATGAAAAAAGAGTTCACACAGATCGGTGCTGATTTTCCCCATATTTTTGCAATATTTCCAATAATCTTTTTCTTGTTATCAATACTGATCAAAGCGAAAAGTCATCCTGTTTTCTTTTTTCCTAAAAAGTGAAGCCATGACAAAATTGGCCGAAATCTCTGTGATTTGATTTCGCTCTCTTSAGGTTTTTGTCATGTGATTGGTTTCACAATATTGCCATTTTCGAAGATAAATATTTGAGGCCAAATTTCGACGTTTCAACAAATCTTCCCTTATGACTTGTTTTAGGTGTTTTTCCATAGTTTTTGAGTTCTTGCAGATTGTGTTTTTAAGGTTGCTGTAGGTGGTTGTAGGTCGATGTTTTTTGGGGGCAAAGCGTTAACAATGGACCCAGTCCCGTCTGGAAATTAGGCTACATGTAGATAGCGACCAAGGATAAATACAACAGCACAGGCCAACCAGGATCAATTGATTAGATTATGACCTCTCGGTGTCGAAGTACGAACCATGGGTTCGATCCTGTTTTTTCCTCCTTTTTTGAACTGAAATATAGTCCTTTATGATCATATAACCTATTCCTGAAACGGATTTTTTTTTTCGAGCCGGTTTTTTTTTTCTAATTTTCCTCCCTAGAAACCAAAAAAAGGTTTCTTGTTAGATTGTTAGTTTTGAGTAAAGTTCGATTTTGGAGCAAAGAGAACTCGGCGATCGAAGTGCATGAGGTYCAGCCTGTCCTTTTTCGTTGGTTTATTTGAAGACGGGCTAAAGTATCATCATTCATAGCTAAACAAATAGACTAAAATCTAAATGAATGAGTTCAAGTGACATTTAATGAAGAAAAAAAAAAAGGATTTTATGTCAAATTTGACTTTTTTTATTATCATTTTTGCAAATATAGTTAGAGCAAGTTAGACTCTCATGTCGGGTGAGACATGAAATAATATTTATCATATAATTATCTATGAACGTATATTTCTCTCGAAAAGTTTTTACTAGTGAAAATAAAACATTCGAGGTTTCTATATATATTGGAAGTAAAAAAAGGTATATTTTACGACACAATTTTCTTACATATATAATTATATGATAAACAAAATATTATGGTCGCTTGGGCCATACGAATATAATCTTCTCGTGTTGAAAATCTTTTCAACACTCAGAAGATAAAATCCGTACCTCCGTGCGTACAAGTAATATCCTCTATGTAATAACTGATCCAAAATTAATAATATTGTGTGTTTATGCTGTCTTTTGATATATAAACTCGTTCAAAACTCGGTCGATTCGCTTTTTCTCCCGAAAGAAGATACTGAGATCCAATTGTCGATGCACGAGTTACAGGTGAAGAAGGTAGCGAGCTTCTTGCAAAAGCTTGCCAAGCGATATAAGGTTCACTGTGTTCATATTTGCGCAACCGATTTAGCAATGACGTTTCAGCAACTCCACCAAGGCCTGGAGAAGGAGAGTTTTCAAAGTTTGTAGTCACGCGCGTTGTGAGACGATCTGCGGTGCTGTGATTCCCGGCACGTGAAATCCTTTCTCGAGCTGATACATACCTCGAATGAATACCAATTGTGTTATGGTTTAGACCTGAAATTGGCTTGTTTGGGCTTTTCTGGAAATTGCTGATAGCAGGGTACAAGTCTGAAACGTTAATATTGTTGACAAGAACTTGACGAACAGATTTTGAGTTCGTATTTGGTCCAACGGATGACAAAGGACTACAAAACTTTGTCGCTTTGGTATATTGGGAAGATAGTGGAGCTTGTTGTTGGTAGCTTTGCAGCCTGGCTGATATTTTTGATGATGGTTGTCGCTGAAATGTCGTTCTTGAAGGCGAGAAATTGTCCGTGGTCACCTGCGTTGAAATATCTASTCGAGAAGAATTATATCTTCCTTTTGGAGAGGAAATTTTGGTGTACTCTGAATGGATTGGCAAAGTTTTTCTAGGGATGAATTGACAGTTTATTGGAGTAGCACTGCCACCACTGCCACTTGTGAAACGAAAATCGTCTTGAGGTTTAAGATCAAGACTATTCGATTGCGGAATAAAAGAACCATAGCCACTATCTAAACTAGTCCAGCTTGATCTCTGGATAGAGTTTTCGGTTGAACTTCTTTTTAGTATTGACTTAATTCCTTTTGGCATCGATTCTGTAGTTTTACCTGCAGTAGTACACCGCAACTTGGAAGCCGTCTGGTTCCCGGTCAAAACTCCTCTTGTAATATCTTTGTTGCTTCTATTCTCTATTAAAAAAGTGCCGCTTGCTCGTGGACGACAAGAAGAGTAAGTAAAACTTTCATCGTTTGGTATTGTGACAACCATATCACTATCAAGAAATGACACTCTCTTAGCTACTGCTTTAGAATCCGTATTTAGCTTTCTTTGCGGCGGGAAATATCTACTCTTTGATTCGCTTCTAGCCATAGTTAGCTTGTCACATCATTACGACATTAGCTTATTTTTCAGTACAAATTGATGCGTAATTGTATGCGTCAACGTCGTTTAAATCAAATTAAGTTTGCATTCTTCAGTTCCATGGCAATCAAACAGCAAAATGGTAATGAGACGGGTCAAGGGTGTTTACTTTTATTGTGCTAAATAACCTTCAAACAAAACTGTAATTACTTTGTGATGTGAACGGATTAAGAAAGCTTTGTGAAACGTGGTGTGACGAATCACCGATAATGGACAACTTTAATTTGCTAAAAACAGTTTGTCCAATGGAGAAAGGCGAAAATATGACTAAAAAAATACTTAAATGCTTGTACTCAAGTCACTTCGCTTTGAATCTTACGTTTCGTGAACTTTCAACTACAAAGCGAATTTTCCCCCTTGAAGGACAATATTAACAAGTGCTTTTTAAAAGTAATAGTCTCCAAACCAAGTCGCGAGCTTTGGCTCAGAAAAGACTGATTGTTAATTCTGAATATTAAACCCGAAATCAGTCGAATCCGAGAGAATTACAGGGACCGTGGAGCGGAAATTTGCTTGGGGAGGCTAGCGGCCGCCGAAGGCAGGAGGTACTAGGGGAAAAATTTGAAGTCTTAACGTTACTCTCAGAAATGTCATTTCCAGCGTTTTTTCAGGCGTTATCCAAGACATATTTATGACCGCTAAAACCGCACACTCAGTCAAACGATATTCAATAAAATCCCAAAGACTTCGCAAAAAAGCTTCAATTTTAATTATTCACGCTTAGTTTTTACACAATCTTAATAGAATGATAAGTGAAATCTCATAAGAAGCTGAAGGCTCTTCGCTTCTTTTATGTAAGAAAATTCAGAATGGTGGAAAGATCATTGGGGGGGGGGGGGGGGGCTATAGCCCCTCAGCCCCCCTGCTCCGCGGTCTCTGATTTAGAGTGAACAACTCACTGGGGTTGGTGACGGTCATGATTTGTTACGTCATCACTTGTTCTTTACGTTCTCCCGGTGCAGTAAAGAAGTGTAGGGAGACGATATTAAGTCCCGGGCTGGGGCTGACCTCCCGAGATATTAAAAGACAAATACAAATTATGTCAAAAACGTTTATGCAAAATAATATATCTATTTACATTATATTTAACTCAGTTCTATTTTGTCAAAATTCTTCAAGTAGTTTCATGAAAAGCCATCTAGTTGTTGTGATAAGTGAATGTTCATTGAGGTCCTTCCTGTCTGCATTGCTTTCATTAAGAATATTATTGAAGCAGTTGTCTCTTTTCCTGACCTCGTGTCGAAGATTCTTTAAATCGCCCTCACCATATGTAACTTCTTTCTTTTTAAAAGATGTTTTGTGATCGGCGTTGTCATTTTTGAGCCTGATGAGGTCCTTGTTAAGGGCGTCATTCAGGGCCTGTAGCTGGTTGCAGCGCTCTTCTACTTTATCTTTGACAATGCTGTTTGTGACAAGGCCTTCCATGTACTCAAACTCAATGTTCTCGTAGATTTCTTTCTCTTTAAGAGATTCTTTGAGATCTACGTTCTCGTTGTTTAATCTCTCGACTTCCTTCTTGAGTCGTTGAAGTTCTTTCTCATGAGAAACTAGGTTCTCCTTGGTCTTACTAAGATGAAGCTGAACGTCGTCCATTAGGGATCGCGACATGCTTCTCTCGTACTCTAATCCGTCATCTATCTCAGTAACTGTTCTTGTCATCTCGTTGACAAGTTTCTTGAGCTGCGTTGAGTAAGGCATGTTATCAGACACAATGTCCATTGATGATTCCTCTAGACATCTCTCGACATTCGTGTACTTGTTCTTTACTTGGACCAAGTGGTCGAGTAGCTTTTGGAAATCCTTGAGTACAGCTTTCATCTCATTTTCCTACAAAAGAGTTATTGTTTTTTAGTATAAGCCTCGCTTGCATGATTGTAAATTTTCCCGCCCGCCGTCTTAGCTCCGTATTTTGACCTGTTTTATCATAAAAGGATACTACAACTAGATTTGTACATTGAAGATTTACCTTTTCGTCTTCTGATGATTTTTCATATCGTTCCTCATGCTTGTCTTCATCATCGATTGACTCAAATGTATATACTATAGGCAAAGGTTTTCTATACAACAAAACATTTATTAGATGTTTATTTACATGTTGTTTCATTGATAGCGCTTGCGTTTYCTTACCTTGTAAGAGCGCAAACACTGGAACGTTCTTTGAAGTCAGGTCTCAAAGAATTAAACTTAGTGCCAGTTAATTCAGCTTGTTGTGCTCTGTTGCAAATTGAATAAGAATAAAGACATTCATTAATATCGTTGGATTATCGATCGGTATCTAGTCATCCTGGTCCTGCATTCCATCCATGTCCGTCCGTTACTAGTAATAATGCATCAACAACTACTCCTCAATTCATCTTACGTACTCTTCTCCCAACCTTCATCCATTACATCTAGACTTGCCCAAGTGGGACTCTCATTTACTCACAGGAATGGGGAAATATTGAGCGCGAAGCGCACACCCAGGAATGGGTGAATATTGAGCGCGAAGCGCGGTGGTCGAGCCATAGGCCACCCAACTATTGCTGAGAGAAAGAACACACGCTTTTATTTTGTTATCGCATCGGCGCGCGCTCTTAGCAAAATGCGGGTTACCTGTGGTATTATACGTCAATGATCTCTTGCCTCGAGGGACAACCTCTTTCCCAGAGTCTCTCGGCTCGCTCTTTTTTCAAAATGGCGTCGCATGAGCGTCCGCCATTTTTCGTTTAGAGAAGGCCCTGGGGTCGGCCCTGGGGACGAGGTTGATCGCGGGATCATAACCTAGTCTACAATAGTTGGGCGAGCCGCAAGTCGAGATACGGAACGAGCGAAACGCGGGCTTGTCGAAAGTCTAATTAAGCCCTCCTCCCCCCTGATTTATTCATTTATTATGATCCCCACTTACTTTATCGGATGTAGTAATGTTCTTTCGTTTGATTCCTGTTTCTCAGTGACGTTTTGCTCATCCATTGACTCAAATGTGTATACAATAGGCAAAGGTTTTCTACATAACAAAAACAACGATTAGACTGGTGTGCTTGCATGTTGTTTCATCGATATTCTATATTCGCTTTGCATGATTAACTTGGTTTCTTGTCGTTTTCTTACCTTGTAAGAGCACAAACACTGGAGCGTTCTTTGATGTCAGGTCTCAAAGAATTAAACTTAGTGCCAGTTAATTCACCTTGTTGTGTTCTGTTGCAAATTGAATAAGAATAAAGATATTAATCAATATCGTGGGGTTAAGTGCTCCTTTATTCTGTCTGTCTGTCCGCTACTAGTCATGTCCATCCAACAGCAACACCAACTAATCAATTCATCCCTCATCTCACCAACTCTTCTCCCGATTTTCATCCATTGCATCCATTGTTCTCCATCTATAAGCCCTCCTACCTCCCTGATTTATTCATTTATCATTATCCCCCTTACTTTATCGGATGTATTAATGTTCTTTCGTTTGATTCCTGACTCTCAGTGACGTCTTGCTCATCGATTGACTCAAATGTGTATACAATAGGCAAAGGTTTGCTACATAAAAAAACAATTATTAGACTCGTTTGTTCGAACATTATCTCATTCATAGCCAGTTGTTTGTTCGTTTCTGGTGAGTTGTTAGCTAGTTGTTTGGTTATTGGGCGTGTCTGCTTACCTTGTGTTTATTCGGCGAGGCAACTTGCTTTCCACTGTTGGAGTATCAGTGGAACATTCTTTGCTGGCAACTTCCAAAGAGATGATCTCTTTGTCAGCTGATTCAGCATGTTGTGTTCTGTTGCAGATTCAATCAAAATAAACACAATTCATTGATATTTGTTTGGTGTTTGGTATTTCTGATTGTCTGATCATCGATCAGTATAAGACGACAAATCAACAGGTCAGAATCTTCAATTGCAGATTTTTATATCGTCAATCTAACTATTTAAATTCATTTGGCCGTCAATTTCCAAGTTTTCATCTCATTTCACCTATTGCTAACCACCACTAATTTCTCCCAACTTTCATTAATTTCTATTCATCTTTTTTTTTCAGTTTAAATCCCCATCAAGTTTTACTTACTTTGGTGGATGATCTGAAATCCCAAGAATTTTTTTGAATGGACATTTCTGAAAGAAACAGTAAGCGTATCAATGAATGAATAATAGAAGGCATTCCACCTTAAAAATGCTAATTGACTTTTCATGCCGTCGAGTATCGTATTTTTCGTAAAATTAGAATGCGCACAACTTCCGTCAGCCACATTGATATACAAGTAACATTTACCTGTGTATTGAGGGCCTCGTACATGTTAATCAGACTATGGATAGTGCCCGTCCGCTGCGGCTCGTTTGATGAATGGTTCAGCGTTGCGGACTCTAACGTTATGCGATTTTGAGACATTTTTTACGAAAACAATCGCAAAAGAAATAGTTTGAAACTGTTAAGCAAATGACACTAAAAGTGTTTGACGATTTCTGAAACGTTTGATGAAGAGATACTCGAGAAACTTGAAATTTTAAACTGCGCACAAATGTGACAGCGTGAATGCAACAAAAAACTTGCAGATTCTGGAGACCTTTGTTACGCGCTTTGCGTAATAAAACAGGAAGCCCAAACCGCGCGCTCTGCTGAAAAGGAGATGCGACATTTGTACTCTTTGAGACTAACGAGACGCAAAATGTCAGCGTTCTTTATCAATACTACTGTTCTAAAGATCCACAATAGACTGCAAGAAAAGATTTATTCAATTATGTAATGAAAATATAACAAATATGCCAAACATCGACAATAGCGCGCGCGCATATATAACACGGCACATGATTGGATAAAATTCTGGTAAGGTTGAGTTTAGTTGATGAAAGTTGTGAAGCGATGAAGCGACAAAAGTAATTTTTTTCGCAGCGAGAATTTGTACAAGTTCTGAGTTATTAAAAATCTGTCATGAAACTGTTGAAAAAGATACTTACTATTAGAGTTGCAAAAATAATAATAGTAATAATTTGGGGTTTAAATAGCTAGAAAAATAATCGAATTTTCAGTTTTTTAGAGGAATTTCTTATCTCAAAAACGCTCGTTTTTGTAAAATTTTGTTTTCAACTTTGCTTGAAAATTAAGCCACATGTAAGAAAATGTCGTTCAAAAAAATAGTCTTAATTGGTGCTTTATGAATTTCACAGATAAGCAAACCTTGAAAGGCTCCACATTGTCTGAAGAATCATCAGAAACGTAGTGAATAAACTGTCATACTTTTCGCACATCGTGTTCCTCGTCTTTGTTTGAGTTTTTCCACTGTTTAGAAACCATACGCCGAAACCTGGACTATATTTTTGCTGTATTACATTAACGAGTAGAGCTTCGGTACAGAACCAAACGGGTTCGACTTCTAGAGTAAAGTAGAGAGAAGAAGGCAATTCTTATTTTTTGTCGCTGCATTTTAGAAAATTTACATTTTTTTCACTGGAAGTATTTGACAACGGCGCGCGGCCATCTACAATTATCCAATCAAATATCGCGATATATATGCGTATTATGATTGGTTAACTAAAAATAGAAATTGAAATCCCATTGAAAGAAGAAATGGACCTCTGAAGCTTTTACGCTATGTACCGTGTATATACAATGCATAGTTGGATGTGTTTGGGACAAACATGTCGGATTTCTTTTGTTTTCTCTAGAAACTGATCCCGCAATGCATTGAAAATCAAGCAGTGACGTAAAAGGTTCAGAAGTCCATTTCGTTGTTCAATTCAAAATAAACTTTCTCATGATCATTATTTTGATTTCTATATTTTTGAACTCCAAAAACTAGACATCCTTATCACCGCACCCTCATCCCCTGTGGCCCTTATTACGTAACTCTCATCAAGAGAACTGGGTTCCAGTCATTTGAAAACCAAGTTCGCGGTAAAAAGTCGGCTCAGTCGGCTAATGGCGTCACTGTGGTCATACTTTTCATCTCCAGACACCGCAGAAAAAACGAGTAACTCGACAACTATGGCGAGTCTAATCCTCAATGATGGCACAGTATTTAAAGGAAAGGTTTTTGGTGCTGCCAAAAGTGTTTCTGGAGAAGTCGGTGAGTATTTTCGTGAAACTTTGACATTTCAAATTCGCCTAGTTCTCGAATATTTATCGTGTGGACTTTCATTGTATGTATGAAGACCTCGTTACATTCGAGTTTTTGCATCGAGAATATTCCTGATAAGAGCCATCACATAGTTGTAAGTTTGTGACCTTTTGATTTAAGAAGTGTAGAGATTTTCCATTGAATCACTTGGCTTGAAACGTGTGGTTGAGCTAAACGTTGTTTGCGTAGTATTTCACACCTAAGAAAGCCATTTACTTTTGCTTTTATTAAGACTAGAATAAAGCTAAAAACATATCTTAGACAACTCAAAATGAGATAAGTTTGTAGAGTTTGAATGAGATAAGTTTGTAGGGTTTGAGAAATATCAAGACCTTTGTAGTTTGTACAGACTGCGAAGACAAAATTCGTACACGTCTTGCTCCACGTGCAATGGTCCACAAATATTACCCAGAGTGCAATTCATMTGAGCTAATACAGGCAAGGGTGGGGTGGTATAGTACGTTTTCGTCATTAAAATTTGAAGTTTGAAAATGATAATTTTGAAAGGTTATAGCAGGTAAAGTCTTAGAAACATGGTSTAACACTTCGCGATAGATCTTTATCATGCTAAATCAGCATTTAAAATATTTGTTAAATATGAAAAAAAGGAAATTATTGAATTTTTAYATTGCAAACAGCCTCAAATTCAATTTTGCAAAATTGCCATTTTTCATAAAATATYATTRCCTTCTTCTAAGGCCTGCAAAACTAACAGTTTTCAAAAAGGATCTCAGAAGCTGGAGTTATGACAGTTTTAAGCTTTAAAATATTTCCAAGAAAATTTTTACATGAAAATATTTATAAAAAATCATTTTGAAAAAACATATCACTTGTGAATTTTTGTAYTTCAAATATTAGTCTGATGTTTCTATGAGAATGAAAGTAGAAATGAAAGAAAGCAAATCACTTAGTGTTGAGTAAAAAAAAATTACCAATCAGAAAACATCAAAGACAGACATTRCACCGAAAGTACTTCTTTTAWCCAAAMAAATTGAAKTGTTTCCATRCTGTTCTATTAAWAGAAATTGTTTGTTAAGYCACKAAGAGGTTRCAATGTGATTGGTTAATGAAAAGGTTATAAAGGTACATGAAAATGGGTTGTAGTAGTTTGACCATAAATGTTGTCAATTTGAGGTACAGTAAAAGGATTTTTTATGTTTTCTATTATAGAATCTAGTAATTATTCTATTATATGTTGTWACCTGATTTTGAAAGAAATATTTTACTTTTCTTTCAGTTTTTCAAACTGGTATGGTAGGGTATCCAGAATCTCTGACTGACCCCTCCTATCAATCACAATTGCTTGTCCTTACCTACCCCCTGATAGGTAATTATGGTATACCTAATGTGAAAGTAGACRAACATGGTCTTGATGTTGAGTTTGAATCTGATAAAATATGGGTCTCTGGTCTTGTGGTTGGYGATTATGTAGATGAGTATAGTCACTGGAATGCCAAGAAATCACTCTCTGATTGGCTGAAAGAGAAAGGAATACCAGGAATTACTGGTAAGTGCGTAAGACAATGTAGAATAATGGACAATGTTAAAGAGCATATGACACGAAAACAGTTTTTTGTCCAGTGAAAGAACGTTATTTGAAAACCCTAAATCTAAAATATTTTTCATTTCTGATAAAAACCTGCCAAGTTACAGCTATTTGAAATTAGCAATTTTCCCCTGATTTTTGTCCCATTTTGGGGGACTGGATCCTAGCATTGTGACGTCATTTTGTTGGCTTAGTTTTACTGCACTCCACAATCTTCTCTTTGCGCCAGTAAAACCTCTTTCGAATATATCTTTCGAATATATCGGATTGTGAGTCAGAAACTAGCCTCTTATTATGCAATACCGATGTGGATATAGAATAGTCAGAATCAGACGAAATTATGGCGATTCAGGATAAAAAAAAGATAGCAAAAATAATGCTGAAGTGATCGACACAGAATCGCAGCCGCAGACCAGCATCCTTGTGACTTATATAAACAAACTCTTGCTCGAAGAGAATTGTATAAAACGAGAAGTATAGAGAAGCGAAAAGTATACTTACGCAAACTCTTGTCTCAAAAGATGTGTAAACAAAGAAACAGTAAGCATACGGCGAACAGAACTGAACAGAATATCATTGTTGTTTAGAAGCTTAAACTGCGTTTACGGGAAATTAGTTTTCGATGGGTGTATAGAACTTCGATTCTGTAAGCCAACACTTGGACTGTACTTGAACATGCTGCGTATTGACTAAACGCTAAAAATGTCTGCTTTGATACAATGAACCCGACAACGATATGTTTTTCTTTTTCGGAGCTTAAAGTCCGCTTTGTGTAAACGGATGAGCTTTGTCCATTTTTCACGTAATCCTGGGTCGCTTAGAAATGGAAACATTGATATATCTGAAGTATAACTGTTATTTTTGCAGCTAATGTTATTTCTATATCCTGCCACGCAATATCTGCCTTTGTATCTACGATTTTTGATAGTGGAACTGCTCACTTCGGCCGCTATCTTTGCAACTAACAGATCGCGAACCAACAAAATGACGTCATATGACGCATTTGGCCGAGCGGAAAAAGAGGACAAATTTTGGGTGAAAAATCACAACTTTCGACGCTTATAACTTTGCGGCTTTTTATCAGATTTTTTTAAAACCCGAGATTTAAGGTTTTTGAATAGCGTTCTTTCAATGGACAAAAAACTGTTTTCATGTCATATGCTCTTTAAATAACTGTTTTATTCCATAACTGAAATCGATTAGTCAGTTAGCATAACGTGTTAAGTATAGGATTTTCAAAGCTATGGTTGTGGGTTCAAATCTACTTGGTGTCATTTGAATTTTTCTTTCTTTCAAGTCTAAAGTTTCAGACGGAAAATTTCTAAGTTGAACGTAGTAGTTAATTAGGTATTCAAGGGCAATAGAGTCATCACACTTGCACCGTGAAACAAAATCAAAGAAGT